TAACCTTGACCTTGGACCTGGGATTAGCCTCCCCCCTGCTGTGCACCCGGGGCATGTTCACTTAGAGGCAACACCGCTGGGGATTGTGGTCAGTGGCCCCACGGCTGTTTCTGTGTATCATGAAGTAGTTCAGTGTGTAGAGTGTAGAGTGAGTGTGTGTGTGTGTGTGTGTGTGTGTGTGTGTGTGTGTGTGTGAGAGAGAGAGAGAGAGAGAGAGAGAGAGAGAGAGAGAGAGAGAGAATCCTTGAATAGATGCATCAACTTAGCTGCATTTGTGTAACTGACAGATTGTTTTTGTTTTTTTTACTAATAGAATGCAATGATATATTTTGGAAATTGCTATACTTGGTGCGTTTTCTCTGCTACACTGTGTATGTACAGCAGTTTCAACAGTTGTGTTGTTAATATGAGAATTGCTTTAAGGAAGTGAAGAGAGTCTTTTGGTCCTGTTCACATTCACTGAGGATTTGACTTGAGTCTCACTGCAGACTTCATTTGCTGTTACAACTAATGGCAGTGAAGAAGTAATACATTACGTTTGTGACCAGTCCTAATGTATTTCCCAGCTGCCCTAACTTCCGGTTCCCACCTACCTCCGCAGACCTCCTAACAATCCCGAACACCAGGATGTGTTTATATTGAGTCACATTCAAGACCTGGGCTGGCCCCAGGCGATTTTATACAGTGTGAGAAGTGCTTGATCAAATGTCTGTCCCAGATGAATCTTACTTGGGATTTCTGGGTGATTTTGAAAACTAATGTGTTTTTAAAAGTTATAATGGCCTTTGACTTTGTAAAAATCTGTATGTCTATATGAATTTTATTACCAAATACCTGAGTTCTACAAAAAGTGGAAGACCTTGAGTATTATTTTCAGTTCTCCAAACTTCCTTCTTGAGCGCTCTACTTTGAAAGGAAAAAAAGAGAAGCAGCCAAGAGCCTCTTGCCGGAACGGTGTCTGATGCTCACGAACAACATTCCCTCCCTCTCCCTCAGTGGGCCAAAAAAGATTGGTGACTTAAATTTTAATGGTTTCATTTGTTCTGTCTTTAGAGGTCCATAATTTTCCAGCTCTGCCAATACAGTTGAAGGCCTCCCTGGTTTAGATTATACCTATAGGTATGACCACCATGTGGTGGGTGAAAAGTGATCGTAAATGATACTTGAAAGTCTAGAGAAAGAAGGAACATTCCAGGCTGGGATCAAAAAGTAAAAGAAAGTGGCAGACAGCTAGTCGGGGTTCTCAAGAGATTCTGCCCCTTAGATGCGTCATTCGTTCTGATTTTCATTTCTGCATGGTAGATCTGCTTCTGCAGGTGAGACCCATCACCACTATGGAATTCCATTTCTAAATGCTGTGCCTTTTAATATCCAAGCCATTCAAGACCGATTCCACATCCTCCGTTGCTGTTGTTACATGCAAAGCAAAGATGTATTTACTTTGAAATTGGGTTCACAGTGGACATCTTTTCTAAGCGCCAGTGATCCAGCATCTGTGCATTTGGACATCTGCGCCTGGATGTTTCTCAGGACAGGTCAGTCCTGTTGCAGTCAGAGTTTCCTGGAGTCAGGGCATGGCTTCTGCATTGTGGCTTCACCGTGGATAGGAACAGCAGAAGTGTCCCTTAGGCCAGTGCCAAGAAGTATGAGTCAGGGTCTTTCAGCAGCTTAAAGCCAGGATGCTGGGTACAGTGTGCCCACAAACTGTTTCTTCTCAGGATCCAGGGAAAGGGGAGTTGAAAGACTTAGGACAAAATAAGTAGAAACTTCTAGCTAGTCTTAGAGAGGGGGAGAATCAGCTTATATAATGTATGTATGTAAATTTGCTTACCCATCCCTTGTACTTCATTATTGCCTTTATGTTCTCTTAGGCATTGCCATTTATGTTTAGGACGTACTTTGGGCCGCTTCTGTAATTTAATAGTTGGTCCCTTTTGGGGGGTACATACTGGTGCCCACTGTGCGGGACTTGCTGACCGACCCTCTCGGCTGTGCTTTGGGTGATAACTAATCCACATTGGGGTGCTGTCGTCCGTGTGTGCCAAGTGCTGCTCCTGAGATGGCGAGTCGGCTTTGACGCTGAAATAGGGCCCATGTACAAGACTGTGCATTTTTGCTGAATGAAGGGTTTTTGTTGTTGTTTTTTTTTTTTAAAAAAAAAATAGTTATTTGATTTCTTGTAAATGCTGTGAATCTCTATTTGTCATTTTGTATCTGTGTATTAAAATAATTTGCCAAACCTGGTTCTAGTGATGCATCTCCACAGTAAAGTAAGGTAGACACATTATACAAACAGAGGCAGGGCTGGGGCGTGCACAGAGCCCTGCGTTTGGTTCTCAGCACTGTGTAAAACAGGGTGTGAAAGCACACAGCTGTTATCCCAGCACTCGGAAAGTGGAGGCAGGAGGTTTTCCCTGGCTATGATGAGGAGTTCAAGGTCAACAACCTAAGCAATATGAGACCGGCTCAAGAAAAATTCTTCAAAGGCAGCAGATGCTGGAGCTTACAGATCCTTTATAGCTCTGTCTTTGGTGCTTCTTCTAAAGACTCCTTCCTGATGGGTCACGGGGCAGGTTTTAGAGATAAGCTCTGAGGGGGGCAGAGGGAGGGGCCCCTGGGCTTCCAAAGCCATTAAAGTGATATAGGAGCCAGAGAGGGCAAGTGACAGTTCCCTTTTGTGGGTTTGGAGCTCAGACTGGGAATTGCTCCACTCCCTACCTCTAGGTAAAGCAGGCACTCTGCCACTGAGTGACAGCCCAGCCCTGGAAGGCCAAATCTGTTGCAGCCGTTTTCCATGAATGGTGGAATGTGGGTGACCAGGTCTCTACGCCTCTGGGTGGCCAGAGCTGCTGGCAAGACCCTTCACTGGGAGGTGAGCCTGTAGCCTTGGCCTCCCTCACCCAGGGTGTGGGGTGAATCAGAATTTCCTCCTCTCATTAGCAAACTCCGAAAATCCCAGTAAACAGCCCATTGTTTGCTGTGACTAATCAGAAAAGGGTTCCTCTGGGTTGCCAAGGCTGCCTCCTGCTTTCTGTTGTTTACTCCCAGCTCATCAGTCCTGTCCCCTCTTACCCTTGCTCACCTCTCCATGGGCTCCACTGGGTGAAAGGGTGGCAGTGCCAACCGGGGGTGACCAAGGGTGGTACCATACATAGAAGGGAGCCTAAGTGGGAGGCAGCGGTACTTTATTCTAGAAGAGTTGGTGTGGGGGCGGGGGAGCAAGCATGTATTAGCTGTCTGCTGTATGCACAGGAGACCGTGTCCCTACAGAGGGATGTATGGCCGGAGAGCCATATAGAAATGTGACAACGACGTTCACCTGGCATCAGTAGCAGCAGAGATGTGAGGTAGGCGCACGGCAGCTCCTAGAATGGCGTCCTGTCCCTGACAAACGTCCAGGCCACGACTGGACTCCTAAGGACTTTGCAGAGACCCAAGGCCCCTGCAGGATCCTGTGGATAAACACAGTGCCTCTGCTGGGTTAGACTGGGACCATGAGGTCTCTGTGGAGCTGGATGTTAACAGATGACCCAGACCCTGTGTGCCACTGGTGGCATGTGGCATTCCCTAATGTGGCCAAATAACTCAAGGCCAGCTGTAGCCCGTATTGCCTACATAGGTTGCAGTGAGAAGAGAAATCTTAAATCAGAAGCAGAGGAATGCCCCGGGAGACAGCCTAGCGGGCTTCACAGGGATCCCAGCAGGTCGTGGGGGAGGGGAGGGACACTGGTGACCAAGTCCCCTCCTTATGCAAAGAATGAGTAGGGGTACCACCCACAGGCAGAAGAGAGAGTGGTGTAAACAGTGGGCCAGGCACCCTGTCAAACCCGATTCCCGC